TGCTGCTGCTGCTGCTGCTGCTGCTGCTGCTGCTGCTGCTGCTGCTGCTGCTTCTGCTGCTGCTGCTGCTTCTGCTGCTTCTGCTGCTGCTGCTGCTTCTGCTGCTGCTGCAGTTGCTGCTGCTGCTGAGGGGTGCCGCAGCTGGAACTGCGTCGGGCTGTCGCGGGCAGCCTCAGTGTAGACCGTTTTGCTGCTGCTGCTGCTGCTGCCGCCGCTGCTGCTGCTGCTGCTGCTGCTGCTGCTGCAGGCGTAGCCAGCTGGTGCGAGAGATAGGGCGGGGCATTTCTATAATTCAAGATGCTTCTTTGGGAGAACATCGGATAAGAGATTTGAATGATGAAATTAATAAAAAGATGAGAGTCAAGAGGCGCTGGGAGTACAAGATCAAGGAGGTCTGCTGCTGCTGCTGCTGCTGCTGCTGCTGCTGCTGCTGCTGCTTTTTCCGTTGCTCTTTTGTTCGCTGGTGCTGCTGCTGCTGCTGGCAGGCTGCTGCTGCTACAGCGTCCGCTGCTCGGACAATAGGCAGCGGCAGTGCTGCTGGCGTGCTGCTGCTCTAGCAGCAGCAGCAGCAGCAGCAGCAGCAGCAGCAGCGGCAGCAGCAGCAAGAGGTTCTGCTGCGTCTCTGCGTGCAGCTAGGGGGCCCTGACTATTCGACAGCTTCAGATGCATTGTCTCTCAGTGGCATTGCAGCAGCAGGAGGAGACTATTATTACTTTGGTGCTGCTAAGGACCTGCCGGTACGCCGCTGCTGCTGCTGCTGCTGCTGCTGCTGCTGCTGCTTTGGTATAGTGGTGCTGCTGGAGCTGCTGCTGCTGTTGAGTGTGGCGGAGCTGCTGCGGCTGCTTCTAGTGGGTTGGCTGATGCTGCTGCCGCTGCAGCTGCTGCTGCAGCAGCAGCTGCTGCTGCAGCAGCAGCTGCTGCAGCAGTAGCTGCTGCAGCAGCAGCAGCTGCAGCAGCTACTGCTGCAGAAGTGACTCGAGTCAGCAGCAGCTTGCCGCTCCTGACATCGCAACTCTAGCAACAGCAGCAGCAGCAGCAGTGCGCTTTGCCTGCTGCACCGTTAGCTTACGAATCTAACTGCTGCTTCTGCTGCTTCTTCTGCTGCTGCTGCTGCTGCTGCTGCTGCTGCTGCTGCTGCTGCTAGGGCGTGCGAGAGCTGTTTGCTGCTAAAGCTGAAGAAGTGAATGAGCCCCGCAAAAGCCGCGCCCAATTATTTCGCCGAATTACCCCCGACTACTTTGGCTGGAGAGACGAGGTGCAGCACTCTGCTGCTGCTGCTGCTGCTGCTGCTGCTGCTGCTGTTGCTGCTGCTGCTGCTGTTGCTGCTGTTGCTGCTGCTGGTGTTGGGGCTGTTGCTGGAGGCGGCTGGGGACCTCTATGAGCAAACGCCTTGGGCGCTTTCTTCCTAAACCCTAAACCCTAAACCCTAAACCCTAAACCCTCAACTGAGGGTTTAGGGCGTGGGGCAGCAGCAGCAGCAGCAGCAAGACCTGCAGCAGGTGTGTGTCTGCTTCGTGTTTGCTGTTTTGCTGCTGCAGGAAAATGAGGACCTGCTGCTGGCGGAGCAGCAGCAGGAGCAGCTGTGGCAGCAGCAGCAGCAGGAAGAGTTGAGGCGTCAGCAGCAGCTGCTGGAGAGCGTGGGAGCAGCAGCAGCAGCAGACGTTGCTGCAGGGATGGCTGCTGCTGCTGCTGCTGCTGCAGCGCGAGACAAAGAGGCAGCCAAACGCAAGCAAGACAGCCAGGTACACACAATGCCGCAGCAGCAGCAGCAGCTGCTGCAGCAGCAGCAGCTGCTGCAGCAGCAGCAGCTGCTGCAGCAGCAACACAAAGCCGCAGCAGCAGCAGCTGCTGCAGCAGCAGCAGCTGCAGCAGCAGCAGC